CCCTCCCCTGGGGCAGCCATCCTCCAGGAACCCCTGCGTGTTCAGCTGTCCAGAAGCTCTCCAAACGCTGTCCTTTTGGATTTTTATGGAAGCTTCATTCTGTAGACAGCATTGATTAAACCATTGGCCATTGGTGGTCAGCTTAACCTTCAGCCCCTCTACCCTCCCTCGAATCCTGCTTTGGTCTTTCACCAGCTCCATCCTGAAGCTACCTAGGGGCTGCCAGCCATCAGGCCGTTCATTAGCACAGAAAAGACAGCACTTCGGAGAGTCTGAGGATGTTGGGAGTGTATGCCAGGGAACCTGGCTGAAGATCATGTATATATTTTATCATAGCAAAGTCCACCTCAAGTCTTCGAACACCGATCCCCTTCAATTGAAAGGACAAATAACTCAGACACTGCCACATCAGTGGGACCCAATCCAGTCCGTCAGATTGTATGAGTGTCTGCCAGGGCAAGGCCACTCACGTCTGCTGGCTTCCAGTCCGTCTTGTCAGGTTCTAAAAGCGAGTGGTCTCGGCACACACATGGCTTCGCCCTTTCAGGCATCTGGGATCACTGAGCTAAGAGACAGTACAGTCTCTTGCTCTGAGCCTCTTTCAAGGTGTTCGTGTAATATTGGATTTCCCTCTATCTATAATTCATTGATTCATTTCTTTACTCCCAGCTACTATTCCTTCTCTCTCCATTTATACCCAAACTTTTCCACCTTTGCAATGGACATTAGGATCAGCCATTGTGCTAGTGTAGATTGCAGATAGCAATACCAGTACCTCCTCCTCAGTCCTCTTTCACCCAGATAGAATAAGGTGACATAAGTACTACAGAACTACCCATGTGTAGCCCCTAGCCACCCCATCAGTCTCACTTGCCAGCTGTGTTCAGGGCCTTCCCGCCAGGGAGCCTATCCCGGAGCCATCGGCAGTCTCTGTCTGTCTTGCGGGCAGACAGAACAGTCCTTACTGGCATTTTGTGTCTGAGAGGGTGCAAGAGGAACGTGTCTAAACTCAGCCCATCTCTGCACTGCTGTAGTTCCCATAGCCACTCATTTCACGGACCCAGGTGGCCACCCTAAGTGAGAATGGCAAACGGCTATCTGCCAATTCCAGGCACCTTTCCAACCTGGAAGGGAAATTTTCTGATGGGCATTCGATGTGTTACTTTCATGCACCCTTCAGATTTCCACAGGGCCGGGCCTCATACGGGCATCCCTTTAACAGGCCAGGTTCCCGTGGCCCCTCTGCCTGACCCTGTGGCCAGGCCGTTGGCCACTGCCCAGGAGTCAGTGAAGACCAGACACAGAGGCTTCGCCACGCCCAGTCATTGCTAGGAAAGCAGCATGCAGGTCGGCCACCGAGCTGATTTGCTTCTGGCTTCCTTGGTCAGAGTGGCAGCTTCCAGACGGAATGTTGTCCCCTTGCCTGGAACTGCCGTCCACAAACCAAGCAGTGCTTTGCTGGTCAGTTGAGAGCTGGTTATAGGGCATGGTCCAGCTGTCAGTAGGATGCAGTTGCTCCCACAGCTCCTTACTCTAGTTCCAGAGTCAGGCTTAGGGGAAAAGAGGCTCCTTGCTTGGGGTATCTCCTTGCATTCGTTCCCCAGATAGCAGAATCCAGCAGAAACCTTTTCCATTTCATTATGGAACGTTCCCGGGCACTGCTATTCCCATTAGAGTGTTTCTCCAACATCACCCAAGACATCGTGGGTATTTTTCGGGTTTCAAGACCATTTTATGTCCTTCTGTCATAGAGGTAGCTTGAATCACTGTCCAATAGCAAGGCAGTAATATCCCTCAAGTCGAAATTCTCTGGTCCAAAGTCTCAGCAGTTGTCGGTGGGAGGCACTCACCGGCTTTCGCCATAAGCTCCAGTTGTCGTCCGGAGAGGACTTCGAAATAGGCCATCTGTCCCTCCCAGCACTCCAGCTTCTACTCCTCACTGTGTGGGTTCAGGCAGTCTTACTGTTCCCACAAGCATGTCCAATTCATATTGCCCGAGGGGTCGATTTGCCTGCCTTCCATTTTACAGTACAAGGCAGGGAGAATGTTCCCCAGGCAGATACAAAGTCCATCCCCACAATACAATCAGATGAAAGAGACGCAACCACTTCCCATGAAGCCTGTTCAGATACACCACCTCTCCCCTGCAGGCTGACCTGAATTCCATCCACCCTGACTTCCTCAACTGTAGCCTCCACTCAGACTTTATCAACATGTACTGGTTTTACAATCCTGGCTAGGAAAAGCGTTCCCCAACCAGATACAATATCCATTCCTGTGAAACATTCAGGTAAAGGAGGCAGAACTTCTTTGTTTAGAGATGGAGTCTCGCTCTGTCGCCCAGGCTGGGGTGCAGTGGTACCATCTCGGCGCACTGCTACCTCCGTCTCCCGGGTTCAGGTGATTCTCCTGCCTCAGCCTCCTGAGTAGCTGGGATTACAGGTGTGTGCCACCACGCCCGGATGATTTTTGTGTTTTTAGTAGAGACTGGGTTTCACTATGTTGGTCAGGAGGCTGGTCTTGAACTCCTGACCTCGTGATCCGCCAGCCTCGCCCTCCCAAAGTGCTGGGATTACAGGCATGAGCCACCGTGCCCGGCCAGAACCTCTTTAAATAAAACCTGTTTAAACATTCCCACTGCCGTAACCCTACCGGCCCTGACATGCGTATATTCTGTCAGTCTGTGGATTTCAGTACCTGTGGATTTCAGTACCTGTGGATTTCAGTACCATAGTGTGTGGAGTCCTCATTTCAAGGAGATCCAGGAATTTCGCTTCACCACTCCCTGGCCGTTTTACCCACTTGTGCACCTAAGTGGGTCCCTAGCAGGGAGTTGAGTCAAGGGACCCTTGCTTAGTTTTGTCAATCTTTATCTTGATGAATTTGCAGAATTGGCCAGACAATTTCAGAACAGATTTCTCACGGTCATCTTTGCCTTCTGACTTCTTAAATTTCTCCAAACTGGGCGAAATAACAGCAAACTTCAGTTTGCTGAACAAGTGGTCTTAATTGAACAAAAACTGACATTGGTTGAATAACAAAAGACTTTTCGGAATTTTTTGATCGTCAAAAAAAATCTACCCTCCTTCAATATTTGTAGATGTTCAGCAATATCCACTTCGTCTCTGCTAGTATTTTCCATTTTTCCTCTCTAGAAACTTCTGGAATCTGCTAGTACTCTCTACAGTACGAGTCTAAAAGAACACAGCATTGGCTAGGCACCATGGCTCACACCTGTAATCCCAGCACTTTGGGAGGCCGAGGCAGGTGGATCACGAGGTCAGGAGTTCGAGACCAGCCTGGCCAATATGGTGAAGCCCCATCTCTACTAAAAATAAAAAAATTAGCTGGGTGTGGTGGCACATGCCTGTAGTCCCAGCTGCTCAGGAGGCTGAGGCATGAGAATTGCCTGAACTCGGGAGGCAGAGGTTGCAGTGAGCTGAGATTGCACCACTACACTCCAGCCTGGGCAATAGAGCAAGACTCTGTCTCAAAACAAAAAGAAAGAAAAAGAAAAAAAAGAACACAGCATGTAGAACCACATTGAAATTCATCCATGGCCACAGGTGTTTGGACGATGAGGATAGGAAAAGAGAGGCCTGTTCTGGTCTCCCTGTCTGTAGGCATTTGCTTCCTGACCGCTGTGATGGCGTGGCGGCTGGGGCTCAGCCTGCGTCTCACCTACCTTCTGGCTTATCTCCCTGATACTCAGGGGCTGGGATGCTCAGCAACTTCACCAAACATTCTTGTACTTGAGCTTTTGCGTGTGAGTTGGAGTTAGCCGCTCAGTTGTATCTGTCACAGATTTAGAAGGTGAGAGTGGAGTGGTGTCAGTGTCTGCAGTTTTTTGGCAAGTTCACGGATATCTGTCTAGAAGGCATGAGGGCCTCTGTTTAGCTGGGTCATGTGATTTCTGGAGCAGCAGCCGCGACTGTTTCTGGATTACAGAAGAGACTGCTGCGTCTTGGTGGCTTGCTTCTACTGAATGGGTTTGGGAATCATCCCTGAAAGCTCAACCTCAAGTTGGTTTTTTTAGCCCTCCCATCAATTCTATCAGTCATTTTGCCTAATTAAGCCCAACTCATGTAAACTACCAGGAGTGAATTCTGTTCTCTGCAACTGAGCCCGCACTGACCCAGCTATTCTATTAGGTCTATTTTGAATGTCTGCTATGCGTTCACATCGTACTAGGCAAGAAGGGGCCATCAAAGAAGCACAACAATCACTTGCAATGTGCCACACTAAAGTGAATTCCATCCTCTCCATAGGCATATGAGCTAAGTACTATTATTACTCCTATCATACAGAAGAGGAAACTGAGTCACGGGTGGATTAAATGACTTGCCTGAGGTCTCACTCAAACAGAAAGAGGCAAAGCCACGCTCGTCCCTACCCCGTGTGGCTCCAGGTCCTACAGTCTTTACTGTCACCCTTGGCGACCCTCCCAATTGGCCTAATAGCTCAATTATTTTGCACAGAATTAGTCCAAACACCATACAGTTCGCAGTTATGAAGTGATATCGGATGCTCTGATTATGAAACTACTATTTGTTCAGCTCAGTTACAGGGTTTATAAATCACATCTGAAAAACTTCCAAAGCTCTGACAGTCTCAAACAAGGGTCATCAGAGACCTCACTCTGATTAGGTTTATCCTCACGGAACATTCCCCAGCACCGCCCCTCATGAGAATGGTCCTCATAAGCAGCCCATTTGCTCTTAGGAATGGGTTTCCCATGTTCTGCACCCGAAGCCTGGAATCGCAACCAAATAGTTGCTATTGCAAAGCTATTTTCAGTGTGCTTCTGCCCAGGGACGGGAATGGCGTCTTACACCCTGTCCAGTTTTTGCTTTCTTTGCAGAGGAGATTAGCGGTGGAGGCGGGGGCCATGGCTTTTCCCCTCAGTCCTCCATGAAGACCATTTATCACTGTTCGAAGAGTTGTATGTTTCTGTGGTTGCTCGGTCCTCAGTTTGGAGTTGCAACAGACACTCAGACGTCTGCAAAATTCTATTTATTTTCCACATGGAACGCAATTCAACACTGATGGCTTCCATAGAGCTAAGTCACAGCCCTATTAGTAATAGAATCCTTGGAGCCCACTGGCACCTGCAGCCTTGCCATCGCGGGAATCGAGAGCTCAGGTCTGTGATGTCATTTCCGTGTCTGAGCTCCTGCCCCGGACCCATGTCCTGCTCCATCCGGTACAGAAGGAAGCCATGCTAACTTGACAGAACTACAAAGCGCCAAAACCGTGCAAAAGAATGCGGCCCAGCCCGGGGCGCAGCGCTCATCGGCGACACGTGAGATCCTTTCCCTGAGCGAGGCCTCTAAAAACAAGGTCAGTGGGAAAGCCGACGCTACCTTAGCCAGGGAGGGGCCGACGGCGCTGTGACAAACTCGCCAGCGGTTATCTCAGACAATGTAAATACAAACCTGGGGCTCATGTTTATTTAAAGTTATTGGCATCGGGCTTGCTCCTGGTAGACAAAGATGATCCTGTTTATGGCGGCATCCAGATGATGGACAAGACTCTGTATAATATAAATCCAGCTCTGCAGAGGGGGCCATTAGCATAAACGACTTCCCTCAAGCCAAACAAACCCTGCCAAGGCTCAAGCTGGAATTCATTTATTATACAGCTTCAAGTCGACTTGTCTCAACATTAAACAACTGCAGAATCAAAGGGGTAAAACTGATGGCCGAGGGCACGCCTCGCGTCTCCTTTCACTTCCAGCGTGGTTTGCAGAAGGCGTTTCTCGCTGGCTTTGTCATGCAGTAGTGTTCATTCTCTGCAGATGCTGTGGCTCCGGTCACCTCCCCATGAGGTGTGGCCGTGGCCCACGCACACGGATACGAGAGCCATGGGGGGCAGGGACCACCCAGGTGTCACCATTGTCCTTGTGAAAGCCCTTGGCCTTGTGGGTAGGTCTGGACTGAGGAACCTTAGTGGGGTTAAATACATAGGGACAGATCCCAGGATTTCCGGGGAGATACACAGAGCTCCGAGGGCACCCGCGCCTGGCCCTGAGCTCTACCACTTCAGATTCAGACTTGCCTGGAATCGGAGGCCAGGCCTTCATGAGAATTGGTTCACGAGGAACCGAAGGCCTCCCGGGAAAGCTCACCCAAGGGCAGAGAGGATCTAGCCGACAAGCCAGGCCCAGAGAGGGCAGTGACTCCAGGTCATGTCTCATGACCACAGCAGCAGACACTTCCACTGGAAGAGTCGTGCCCAGGGAGGACGTGATGCCCAGAAAAAGGGCATGAGGACACGAGCAGGAAGAGCGCAGAGGCTGGTGGCCATTGCAGCTAGGAGGCCCCCAGGGAATAGAGAGCTATTGTTGGGGGGCTGAGGGAGGGCAGGACTGTGTTTCTTGGAGACCCAGTTTCTCTGAGGGCTTGACTGCCTTTGCTGCCTGTTTCTCCTCTGGATAAGGTCTTTTTTTTATTTTTTATTTTTTAATTAGAGATGGGTCTTGCTATATTGCCCAGGCGGGTCTTGAACTCCTGGCCTCAGATGATCCTCCTGCCTCGGCCTCCCAAAGTGCTGGGATTACAGGTGTGAGCCACCATGCCCAGCCTGGACCACATCTTTTTCTGGTGTCCCTGGCGTCCTGCAGATAGTAGATTCGACACTGTGGAGTGACTCAGCACCAGTCCTGCTGCTTGCCTGTCCACTGTGGCCTGCTCTCTCTTGGCCACACCATCCTCTGTGCAGCCCTGGGGACAGAGACTCTTCTCACTCCCTGTCGTCTGCAGCCAGAAGGGGTGGAGCTGGCCTTTGGAGTCTTCTCTTGGGTGTTTACAGGCAGCTATGCCTCCTCTTTTTGGGAAAACCTCCCTGCAGGGTCAAGCCACCCCGAGAGGCCCCCTTTACCACCTGTAATCTCTAGTCCCCACCACTCCCCTGTAGGTTGAGGCCTTAGGAACTGGAAGGTGGGTCTTTCTCCCCAAGCCAAGTCCCACTGCTGCCCTGGCTGCCCTGGCTGGCTTCACTGTCCAGGGGTCATGACTCTACTGTCCCCCTCCCTCCCCAAACTCTGCCACACCTTGAGCTGCATCCACCCAGAAACGTTCTCTCAAACAGGAAACTCCACTCTCTTCTCTACGCCTCAGTCCACATCTTTACTTCCATGGGGACCTCTGGTGCTGTGATTCCTCCGTTTCCTCTGGCCCCACTTCAATCTTTTCTTCTCAAGCCACTAATCGCTCCACCACACGGCCCCATGCACCTCTGCCAGGGCTCACCTGCCCAACCTTCATTGGGACCCGCCCCATGCTCCACCTTCTTTGCCCTCACACTTAGGCAGTGCAGGAGTTATCCAGTGCCGCTAATGAATCACCCCAAAGCCCTAACAGCTGAAGCCGACAAGCACATCATCTCACACCACATCTGTGGGCTCCGCTGGGAAGTTGTGGCTTGGGGTCTCTCGTGAGGTTGCAGTGAAGATGTCAGGCAGGACTGATCATCTGTGTGTTGGGGCTGGGGGAACTGCCTCCAAGGTGGTTCATCTCCACGACTGTGGGCAGGAGGTCTCTGTCCCTTCCCATGTGGGCTCTCCATATGGCTGCTTGAGCTTCCTTATGACATGGCTGCTGGCTTCCTCCAGAACGAGTTTGAGAAGGAGGTTTATGATCTGGAATCAGAAGTCACACATTGTTACTGCTGCTACATTTTGTTCATTTAAAGCAAATCGTGAAGTCCAGCCCCCATTCAGTGTGAGGGGAATTAGACTCCACCTTTTGAAAAGAGGAAGATCAAGGAATCTGTGGACATGTTTCAAAACCACCACAGTTCACTTCATTCTTCTCCCACATGACAGCAGTCACCCTTCTTTCCTGCCCCCTTGACTGTAGCCAGAGCTGCCTTGTGAAGCCTTCACTCGAGCAAGCTTGCCGTCCACACCTCTGCTTCTGCCCCGGGCAGGGTAGCTAAGCCCTGATGGAGGCCAACCCCAGATGGCCACGTGGCCGTGCGGATTCGTGCTTTCTGGCCCCACTGGGCTCCTTCTGCTTCTGGCCTTCTTCAGGCCCAGGTGGCGCCCACTGCTGTTCCCGGTGGCACATCCACAGCCCGCTTCTCTCCCAGTGCCCAGACACCACTCTCTGCCCTGCTCAGCGGCAATGTGCTTCCTCACACACGACCCTGCAGTGTAGACGGCCCTCCCGCACACACGACCCCGCAGCACAGACAGTCCTCCCGCACCCACGACCCCGTAGTGCAGACGGTCTTCCTGCACACACGACCCCGCAGTGTAGACGGTCCTCCCGCATGCACGACCCTGCAGTGTAGACGGTCCTCCCGCACCCATGACCCTGCAGTGTAGACGGTCCTCCCGCACCCACGACCCTGTAGTGTAGACTGTCTTCCTGCACGCACGACCCTGTAGTGTAGACGCTCCTCCCGCGCGTGCGACCCCGCAGCGCAGACGGTCCTCCCACACACACGACCCTGTAGTGTAGACTGTCTCCCGCACACACGACCCTGTAGTGTAGATGGTCTTCCCGCACACCTTGGGGAAGACGGGCTTCTCTCCTTTTATTTGGGCTTGATCCTCCCACATCCTTCCAGCAGTCGTCACTGATCCCGCCCAGTCTTTCACCTTTCCACTGGCTCTGCCTTCCTGCCTCCCCTGCCTGATACAAACAAATTCAACTTTGCTCCAGGTATTTTTTTTTTAAAGATAAAACAAAATAATAATCCATCATTGGCCCAACATCCCTCTTCCACACCAGAACCTCACACCCACCCTTCAGGGACTGCCCTGTCTCCTGAGAGCTTCTAGAAAGAGTGGTCTGCACTCTTCCCCCCTTCCCACCACCACCCACCTACCCACGCATGCCAGCCTAGCCTCCACCTTCCTGGCTTCTATGATACCAGCTGCTCTGCCCTCATTCCAGCCGTCAAGGGCCACCACATGGCCAAATCCATAGATACTGGATTACCTGTGCTTTGTGGCCCCTGTGCCACCCTGGACACCTGTTGATATCTCTTTCCTTGTGGTACTTTCTCTCTCTCCATCTCTTCCCATCTCCTCTGGCTCCTCCTTCTCCCCGCCACCTCATTCCTCTGCTTCTTTCTAGAATGTTATGATCTATCTGTGGGATCTCACCAAACTCATCCTTTATCCTTGCCCCAGCGTTCCTCACCGGCTCTTCTGGCCCAGTCCTCATTCAGGTGCTCAGAAGCTATTGCCCGACTGCCCTGGCCCTGCTCCCACTCGGACATCACTTGAACTTCCACCTTGACGTGGGCCTGGCTCCGTGCCCTCCCCGACCGTGTTTCCTGCTTTGGTGGATGGCATCTCTCTCCACCTAGTGACTCAGGCTGGAACCTGGGGGCCTTCTATCTTCCCCCAAATATGACCAATCAGTTAATTTATCTTGGAAAATAAAACAAGACAATAATGTCAAAAATAGGCAGAGGCTGTACGGGGCATTCACTGTCGCCTCCATCACCCTCTTCCCTGCTGACTCAGGCAAGGCCCCCGGCCTCTTTGGGCCACTGTTTCCTCGTATGTTGGCTGGAGATCATACCAAAGGTACCTCCTGGGGCTGCTGTGTTGATCACACGGTCAATGCGTGCAGGTGACAATAGCAGCTCCGGCTGCTCTTCCTCTCCACGCACAGGGACGGGCACTGCCAGGCCAGGCTACCTCAGGGCCGGCCAGCTCCGGAAGTGTTTGATGTCGGTCTGCAGTGAGGTAAGTGTAGAAGGTGAGAGTAAGCATTTTAAACTACTACAGAAATTTGACAGGGTAACTTTATACCTTTTGAGTCTAATAATTAAAAAAAAAAATGGGGCTTCACCTCATACCCATTAGGATGGCTACTGGGAAAAAGACATCAACTAATCCGCATATTGGCAAGGATGTGAGAAATTGGAACCCTTGTGCACTGTCAGTGGAAATGTAAAATGGTGCAGCCTCTGTGGAGAACAGTATAGTGATTCAAGAAATGAAAACTACAGTTACCACGTGATCCAGCAATTCCACTTCTGGGTATGTGGCCAAGGCATGGCAAGCAGGCGCTTGAAGAGATATTGACACCCAAATTCAGAGCAGCACGAACACTCACGATGTGGACAACCCAAGTGTCCATCGTGGATGAATGGAGAAATAAAATGTGGAATATTATGCAGCCTTAAAAAGGAAGGAATTTCCAAAACATGCTACAACATGGATGAACCTTGAGGACATTGTGCTAAGTGTAACAAGTCAGACACAAAGGGACAAATACTGTGTACTTCTAATTATGTTAGATACCTAGAGTTGTCAGATTCATAGGACAGAAAGTAGAAGGGTGGTTGCTGGGGGCTGGGGACAGAAAGTAGAAGGGTGGTTGCTGGGGGCTGGGGACAGAAAGTAGAAGGGTGGTTGCCGGGGGCTGGGGGCGGGAAGTGGGAGGCTGCTGTTAAATGGGTAGTTTCGGTTTTGCCAAAGGAAAGCGTTCTGGAGACTAGAAGCGTGGCAGTGTGAGTGCATATAACTGGAATGTGCACTTAAATATGTTTGGGATGATAAATGTATGTTATCTTACCCCCATTAAAACAAAATTTTTTTTTAAAAAAATGGGACTTGTATTTTGTATGTCTTTTAAAGTTGTATTTGTCTGGTAATTTATTTTCCAAAAGTTTCAGTCTGAGAAGGATCAGAAACAAAAGGAGTCCTTCACTGCACATCACAGATGCTTCCAGACTCACTGCCTTGGCTCAGCTTCTCCTGGGTTCCTCACTGGTTTGCTCTTCCACTCTCCCACCTCCTCAACCCATCTCCTAACCTCTGGCCACAGTGATCTTTCTAGAGCAAGCTTAACCTGTTGCCTATCTTGTCCAGTGTTCCTACATCCAGGAAGAACGAGGAAACTGAGGTACGCAGACAAGTGAAGGGTGAAGATGATGCAAAGGAGTTTATTGAGTGTTAGAACAGCTTAGAGGAGACCCACAGTGGATAGCTCCCCTCTGAAGGCAGGCAGGTCATTCTGTCGAGTGTTCAGCTCTCAGCAGAGAGGAGTCCCTGGAGAGGGCAGCTCCTCTCTGCCTGGCAGGTTGCCCCACCCTCTCTGCAGATCTCTGAAGCTATCAGTGGAGAGGGTAGCTCCTCTCTTTGACTGACCATCCCAACTTCTCTCTGCCATCTTCTGTCTCTGGCCATCGTTTACCCTGGCTGAGCACCAGGCTTTTATGGCCCTCAGAGGGGAGGAAGTGCCTGCTAATTGGTCCATGAGCAGCCAGGGGCAGGCTCAGAAGAGGCACCATGAATCTCCATTCTGGTCATCAGGACTAGTGGCCCAGCCCCTAGCCTTCAGGCCCTCCCTGGCCTGAAGGAGGGGTCTTACTGGGACCCACCCCCTTTTGCCCAGGAATCTGTCTGCCTCCTGCTGCAATTCATGGCCCCGGGCTCAGCGCCAATCCTGCTTGGAGATCTGAGCAGGTGTTGGGAGAGGAGAGAGGACAGGCAGTGGGATCAGACACCCCTGAGCCTGCAGGGATGGGGGCGTGGTGGGGGAGATGGGGGAGTCCTTCCCAGGCCCCCAAGGGTGCAGGCTACAGAGATGCCCAGGTCCTGTGCCTGGGAGGGCAGTGGCAACTGTACCCAGGGAGCTGTCCCCTCACCATCTCAGAAGGGGCAGGGCTCCCGCTTGTCCCTGGCTCCTGCCTGCTCCATGGTGCGAGTGGCCCAGGTCTGCAGCAATGGGTCACATGGTTGCAGCTTCATGCAGGAGGGCAGATCCTGCCTGCTCCTGGCTCCTTCCAAGAGCACAGAGAGGCTCGGGTCCGCAGCCACAGTTTGGGTGGTTGTAGCCCCATTAGGAGGGTGGGGCCCCTGTCCACAGCTGCAGCTTGGGCAGCTGCAGTGGCACCTGGGAAACTCCCACCCAGACTCAGAAGGGGCAAGGCTCCCACCAGCTTCATGGAGTGTGCAGCCCCAGCTGCTGCTTGTGGGGAGCCGGCTGCAGCCCGAAGCCTCTACATCTCACTCGCTGCCCTTTTGCTCATAATGCTCTTGCTTGTTTGTCAAAGACCACCTCCCCCAGGAAGCCTTCCCTGAATGTCTAAGCATCACTATCACAGATCATCCCACACCAGCTTCCTTTGCAGATTTAAGAAGCTGTAAAAGCAAGAGTTCTGGCACTTTGATGGGCACTGAGAGGGAAGCTTTAGGCAAGTGGGCCCCCTGGCTCTTCTCACGGGATGCCTGGAGGGCCCTCCAGTCACTTGCAATGTGTTTGTGTCTTCCGCCTACACTTACAGCTTCCTCCAACATCCACGTTTGCAAACCAGAGCAGTACAGGTGTCCTTCAAAGCTTGCACAGGTGCCGGTGGCATCAGACAAGAGGGTCCACGGTGAACACTATGGCGAACGTCAGCCGGACCCCCTCCTGTCCTACCCTGAGTGCGGGCAGCACTGAGATGGGAGCACAGAACGCTTGCCTTCGTGCCTGAGAAGATGAATGTACCTTCTTTCAGCCTGGGAGAATGGCAGCATCTTCCCAGGCCAGGCTTCTGATGGGTTTCCCAGCGACCGGAGAGCAGCGGGGCTCAGAGCTGGCAGCCACCCGGAGCACCTTGGCTGCTCACTCACATAAATCCTGGTGTAGACAATGAGCCCTTCATTTGCAGGTGATGTCCCTGCACCAGGCCGGTGATGGTCCTCCTGGCCTCCTAAGCCCCGGTTTGCTTTCCTCCATTCTGCAGTGAAATCTCCTCCACCTGTGACCAGGCTCAGTCCAGATTCTGCACTGGGCGTCTGGATTTGAATTGAGTGCGGAATCCCCCAAATAAGTTGTTTCTCAAAAAGCTGCCAGAGCACAACTGCAAACAGAAAGGAGCATCTCCTTTTATTTCACGGATAGAAACAGAAGGGATAGTGTTCTTCCAAGATGTAGCTCTTCTTTCCTGGCCACCCAGATCCCAGCCTCCTGGGGGTGATGACTTTGGGTTTTACTTTTTGTTTTGTAAACAGCAAAAAACCTTCATTATACGTAGACCTATTGCAGAACTTAAGAATCATTTATGGCCAGACATGGTGGTTCACGCCTGTAATTCCAGTACTTTGGGAGGCCAAGGCAGGTGGATCACCTGAGGTCAGGAGTCCGAGACCAGCCTGGCCAACATGGTGAAAACCCATCTCTACTGAAAATGCAAAAAATTAGCCAGGCATGGTGGCGTGTGCCTGTCATCTCAACTACTGGGAGGCTGAAGCATGAGAATCTCTTGAACCTGAGAGGCGGAGGTTGCAGTGAGCCGAGACCACACCAGTGCACTCCAGCCTGGGCAATAAGTATAAAACTCCATCTCAAAACAAACAAACAAACAAACAAAAGAATCATTTATGGTTTCCTGTAATCCTCTCAGGTATAATATGTCAGATTCAAACTGGAAACAATGACTGGACCTAAATCCTAATGGAAAGTTTCTTGTGGTTCATATTTTTGACTGGTGACTGGCAGGTTTACACAAATAAATGAATATTATAATTCGGTAGATAAGCAACTACATTACATTTATAGGATTTAAGCACTTTCCATGAAAGCTTTGCTCCAAGGAGATGCCTCTGGTACAGGCTGCTAATTCACCAACACACGAGCCTGGAGGCCTGGGTTTGACATTAAATGAGTCTGGGCCGTGCCTCTGTGGGGGTTCCTGCTTCAATGGGGAAATAGAAAATGCTTGGTAAGTAGAAAGAGTCATTGTTGACATTTTTAAGCCAGCTGGGAGCCTTGAGAATTTGAAATTTGACCTACATACAAGGGAATGGACCTTTCACAGAGTATGAAGTGCTAGGTGGGGTTTGTAGAGGACAATGGCATGTCGGAGATGGCCAGCGTTGCATCTGGGCCCACATAATCCCTCCCCAGCTTTGCCAGCTCCAGACTCCTGGTGAGGTGCCAACTGGTTCTCAGTTGCCGCAGGTGTGAGGGGTGGCTTCAAGTTTTTGTGGCTCTGGAGTGTGACATTCCTGGTAGATGAAAGGGCTCCTGGAGGACACCCACCAAAGCGGAGGCTGCGTCTGAATGAACACCCAAGAAGCAGATGCGCCAGGGAGGTGTGGGGTGGGAGGCAAACTCTGGATCAAGGCAAAGGTAAATGAGTCAGCGGCGGCCCTCCAGCCAGCTCATGCCGGGTTCCTAGGAGATGCTCCTTGAGGCTGTGTCACTGACATAGACGGTGAGGCGCAAGGAGGCTGCGGAAGAGGATGCGGAGGAAGGAGCTGAGGGTGGTTTCCATTGGTAGAGCTGATTCTGCCTGGCCCAGTGGCAGTTGCCCCACATGAATGGAGCTGCGCTTTCCTGGGGGTTTCCAGTGGAAGGCATGGGAGTGGCTTTTCAGATCTGGGGTCCCTGGCCTTTCCCTGATGAAGGGAGGTGTGTGGGGTGCTGGCCTTGGGGCTCAGGGTAAATGTGGAAGGTTCCAGTGCGGAAGGTGAAGCGGCCGGGCCGGGGATACCCAGCCACAGCCTGGAAGCTTTGAGGAAGGGAGATGTGGAAGCACTTCCCGTTCCCTGCCTGATGGGCTTAGAGACTGACCCATGCCATGCCAGTGACTCATGACATGCCACCCACAGGTTGAGGGCTTGTGATTTAAATTGTTCTACTTTTCTGGTCTGCAATGTTGTCCAAAGTCAGAGGGATCTAAATTTTTTAAAGAAGGGGTGGGAATGTCTGTGTGCTGTTCACACGGACGCAAGACGG